CATGTATCGTAGCGTTTTGTTAGCGTTGTTAAAGCGAACTTGTATATGTTTGATGATGTCAGAATATTTGATAACCTTTTATAACTTGTGATTTTGTCAATTATATGATATATATGATCTATAATATGATCCCTTCAGTCCTCTATAATATGGTTATGAACACCATCATAACAACAGACTAGCAATATACCGGGTATACAGCACAGCAGATACTTGTATTGATTTGATAAATGTTCAACGGCCTCATCAACATCCAATGTCATTTAGGACGAAACGGGTTATGAACCAAACAAAATTGACAGGGATGTAAACATCAAACAAATATCTATTAAATAGTTATGAAATTCCACAGTAAACACTGCATCCCTCAAGGAAATTTTATATGTCGAAAATGTTGAGAAATAAGTCGCCCATGTCATCAACCTGTCTTCAACATGTTGAATATTAATACAGTCTGTCATAACGTGCTTAACCGTAAACGGTAAACCGGGACTACGCAAACAGGTTGGTCATCACCTTTCAAAAAATATATATAGGTATATTGTATAACGGAAATGTGATGAAGGCTGCTACTCCGCTCTGTCTCGCCATTGATAAACGGTTTAGGTATTTTCAATACATGTCTTTCATTATACCTGTAGTTGTCATTTGGATTTCACACACGTCGGAACTTACGGTAATAAATCAAAGTAAGTATAATAAAATATAATGTATCATGATAACGTATCCCAAATGCAAAACAAAAAGACTATGAATTTGAATTGTTTGACTGGCAAGCAAATACTTTGAATATATCGTTTCGGAAACGAAACCATACCTTTTGAAACCTTTATGAAAAGGTATTAGCAATGAGTTTAAAACAATGGTTTGAGAGTAAAATACAACTGGGCGAGAACCGGATTTGAACCCTGGACCTGCGATTACCTTGCGATCGTTCTAAAAAACTTAACTACCCGATACATTGTAATTGACTATTCCACCGACAATTTTATCATCCAAATAAAACATAAGGGGTTAGGGGGGTTACGTTACGTTATGTTTGAAAAACAACAGAGGAATTTCTAGTGTTTTCTCTGCAATGGAACACGGTTCCTAAAGAGAATTCTAAAGCACGATCACCCTCACGTTGATCACGTGATGCGACACCTCCACGGGCCTTATATAATATAAAACGACAAATACTTGACATTTCATTTAAACGAACTAACACTTTTAACAAACGACAAAAAATATACCATATACTGTAATTGTATACATTTTCAAATAAAATACTTACAATACAAGGCTACACCATCACGTTTAACTGATATACCTGTTGGTAAGAGTTAACTCCCTGACTTTACTGACATAACCTGTAGCGGTAACTGGGTATAACATACACACACACACACACACACACAGATCTCGGGCAATGTGTGTGGGGTAAACTATCATAACCAATTATATAAGCTCTGTCTATAATACAACATTATATAGTGGAAATAATATGAGATGGAAAATTGTAAAAACAGCCACTTTTTATTCCTAATCTAAATTTCACAAATGTTAAAGAAATTCATTAACTTAATTTTTACCAACATTGCTGAAGTTCATGAAAAATCTTAAGGAAAAAGACTTTTCCTTAAACTGAGACTGTTTGGCAATGAAAAATATTCAATATCTTCAGGGAATTATTAAAGTATATGAAAATGATATATGTCAGTAATGTGCGTTTGAATATGAATTAAATATATTAATTTTAAGGTTCGAGGCATCACAAATACTGTGGTGGTAACATAAGCGATACCTATTACAAACAAAAGGAGGGCAATTACCAGCTGTTTTCAAAATTCAGAAATAAGTTAATTCCAAAAGGAACTTCAGAGTTTTGGCATTTGAAGTAGGGTGTAAGCGATTCTTGGAGTACACGGCGACAGATTTTTTTTCTGCCATTTTTGAGAAGTATTTTTATTTAGTTTAGGCATATTTGAAGGTTACAGTTTAACTAATTAACAATTTGGAGTTAAAAGTGTTAAAGAGAGAAAAATATTTTAATTTATCCTTAGTGTTCTGCTCTATGATATAACAGGCCTAACAAGTGAAGATTAGTTATTGTCTGTAACATATTTCCATTCTCTACAATAACAGCTTTGACCTTTCCACTGTAACATTACAAATCTGTCCGTATTATATCAATATCACAGTCAAATTATTCACCTGTTCCATTTTAAATTGGTTATAAAAATATTTTTTTAATTATTTCACATTGAGATGCTTGAACGGTTTTCTGTCAATTTTTACTTTCAGCAGTTTATATCACAACTAAAGCAAAGATTTCAGATTATACGATATATGTAAACTTAATATTTAGATTTTGGTTTTGTGTGTAACTGCATTATTTTCAAAGTAGATATCAAAAGTGACTTTTAGCATGTAGAATCTGCATTCTTGACGCACAAAACCATACTGTGAGGACAAAATCATTTCCTGTTGTGATTTTCTTTATCAATTCATCATTGAAATCTGTAAATTTCTGAAAACCAATTTTATTGGTGATTTCAGTAATAGAATAATAAGAATTTTGTTCTTAAAAAAGTCATAATATAATGTAAATTCTAACACGATTCGTTTGCAACGCGTGTTTTGATTGGATACGGACCATGTTCTAATCTGCGATAGAATCATGATCAATCGAGTTAAGCTTCTTCTATCGCTCGCAAGCCACACCCCGTTTCTAACCAAAACAATATGGCGTCAAGCTCGCCTCTTAGCGAAATCCCGCTGATAAGGCTACTAGGCAACAGAACAGAAACCACCGATGAAATGTATATTTTGAATGAATTAAAAAGTACACATTCCTTGTTCTTACCTCCATTTATTACTGAAACGATTGTTCCATCCGTGTGAAGGCATCTATTTAGATCCAAAATCAAATGAAACATTTCACATGTGTCGTATGCATTTACACAAAACTCTTCACAAAAATGTACGAATAATCACCGATTTTGTCGATAAGCACAGATTGGTATGCATACTTACCTGAAAGTCTCGAGTTCAAACCCAAATTTCATGTTCTAATCGCCAGTATAGCCACTCAAAACAACATACTATCCCCTAATTATGGTTTTATTAGTGATAAACTAAATTGAAAAAAGTGTTAACTTCAATCCTGGTATTGTTTTGCTGATGATATAATTCTGAGCAGTGATATAACGGTACTGTTGTGTTGTCTAAAGGAGCCCATGAAGTTATTAGAGGTACCACTGATGTTTAAGAGCAGTGGGAAACCTCCAATGTTAGACATCAATTTCAACAGGTAAGACAACAGATGTCCATTTCAACAGGTAATACAACATATGTCCATTTCAACAGGTAAAACAACAACAAATACATTTCAACAGGTAAAACAACAAATACATTTCTACAGGTAAAACAACAACAAATACATTTCAACAGGTAAAACAACAACAAATACATGTCAGCAGGTAAAACAACAACAAATACATGTCAGCAGGTAAAACAACAACAAATACATTTCAACAGGTAAAACAACAACAAATACATTTCAACAGGTAAAAACTGAAGAAAACAAAATAACTGATGTATGCAATTTTGTTTTCAGCTAGTACAATGTCATCATAAATTCAAAATTATTATATTAGCAATATATAATTCAAGTCTGTATCATTATGTACATGTAATATCATTTTGCAATCAAATCAAAGTTTATAATTGTCATTAAGAATTGAAACCCTATATATTGTCGTCGTGAACATTTACGTGATGTGTATTGGGATTTTTGTGTAGGAGTCTAATAAAGATTTTCCAGTAGATTCACTACTGGGAGCGCCTCATGTTTGAGATTCTTCATTATGCCACGGACGAGTACAACAAACGGAAGGATATCTGTGCCCTCCGGGAACATGTTCTGCTGGTCATCCGTGATTACAACAGGTAATCTTTTCACCATACAATATACTGTCAATAATTTCCTAGATGCTGTACTTTTAGGGTCCCCTCTAATCCTATCCTCCTTCTGTGAAAAAATATTCAAAATATTTTGTGATATATAAGGGATCTGTCATAAGTTTCCCAGAGACTCACAAACATGAAAAATAAAAAACTTGTATCATAAATCTTATACGATCGGAAACGAATGACAGATTCTTTTTATCATGTAATACAAAGTAAACTGTATAATTGTGATCTTAAACAGATATTTTGCACTTGGCCGCCTCTGTATTGTGACCTCATATCTGGAGTGATGTTACACACGTTACATAAACATAATTTATCACATAATGTTCTGAGTTATCCTGTGAATATACCCATGTCATAATTTTTTGCGAATTAACCCATGTAATATGACCTATCAGTCCTGTGATTGGTTGTAAGTTTTAATTGTGACGTCACGCCTAGTACAAGTACATGACGTCACAGACGTACGCAGTGGAGTCAAAATGGCGGCTTTTTACATTTCGAGGTTGCATGAAAATTGTCGTTTTACACAAACAAATGACACAAATCTTGAGTATGTGATCAAAAGGATTCATTTTCATTTCATATGAAATCAATGAAACTCGTCACAAAACTTTCATTTTAGCTCGCCAGAGGCTCCTAAAATTGAAAAATTCTTAGACTCGTTTCCTTAATCTCATATGAAATGGAAACTTATGTAAGATCCTTTATTTGTGGATGGCTTTATGACACTGCATAACACGGTATTCATATGAGAAATATGTATAGTGTTGTCTTTGCGAGCAAAAAAATGTGGCTTTTCCCCACTGGAGGCACTTATCATTTGTTTAACTCTTTTCCATTACATTTGTATAGTGAAATCTAAAAGGAAATTGAAAATATAAGTCTTTGAACTATCTATATACTTTTTGAAAATAAATGTAACAGGGTGTACTCGATGCACTAGGCCAGCATGTTTACTTGTATGTGTTGTCTATCGTACCCGTTTCATAAGGAATACGTGTAAGGTCGAGCAAATGCGATTGCACGAGTATTTCCAATACTCACGCCACCCTTGGTGTCGTGTACACACGCACCCGTAACCTTCCCACCTCACTCTGCACTGTGCTGCCGTCGGAGCAGGACGGACCTTTCCAGGCCTCTGGTATGTCATTATCATTTTAGTAGAAATGTGTAAATGTACATTAGCACAGTGCAATACTATATAATATAATACTATATTTGTATAATAACGTCGAAGCTTATTAAGCGAAAGTATAACTAAATAGTTTAGATAGACATAGTTTCGCATTTATTGTATTCTATCACCTATGACGTTAGATTCGCACTTAGTTCGACTCATGTATTTTAATATTGATATATTGTATTTTAGGTTTATCTACTGGACAAGTAATAAACACCAATGAACTCAAATATTGTGCTTGTTATAACTGATAGGAGCGAACGACTTTACATAAGGATGTTTATTTGTCCTATCCCTGCCATTTTGGGAGTGGGGGGGGGGGGGGGG